TTGTATTTGGAGGATGGATTATTGATAATGCAAAATTTTATTTTCGTGTTGATCTCTTAGTGAGTTCAGAAGGATCTCTTTGTGAGTTCTGACTTTCCCAAGATCTCTTTGTGAGTTCTTGAGGAGAGTTTCGTGGATCTCTTTGTGAGTTCCGAGATTCTCAATATCTCTTTGTGAGTTCTTGAGGAGAGTTTCGCGGATCTCTTTGTGAGTTCCGAGATTCTCAAGATCTCTTTGTGAGTTCTTCAGGAGAGTTTCGTGGATCTCTGTGTGAGTTCCGACATCCCTACAATCTCCTTTGAGATCTTGAAGTTTAAGAGCGTGAGGTTAGAAATTCCAAGATTTCCCAAACTTCTCATCCTCTACCAAGCTCGGGCTTTTCCTCCCCAAGTTCTCCTTGCCGCCGGCCCTGTTGGCCCGTCCAGAAATTCACCTGCCGGCCATCCCTTAGGCCGACGCCCACCAACCCCCACCTCCCCCTCTCTTCCTCCTTGGACTAAAGAAATTTTTTAATTAGGAGAGGCTCACAATTAATGACAATTCAAATTCAGATTTCCATTCTCTCCCCAAATTGATTTGGGCTTTAATTAATCTTGCCACCTAGGCAAGTATATGGCATTTACGTTTCACATCATGTTGTGCATAGCATAAGCAAAATATTTTAATCCGATAGGTACATCAATTGGCTGTTGACCAAAGACGACTACGTATCAATTTTAGAATTCTGATGAGTTCGGATCAATAATTAGATCAGGTAAAAAAATCAAGGTTCTATTCTGACTAAACTATATTGACAAACTTGGAAAAGGAGTTACTCAGGATCAATTAATCAAAGCAATGAAAGTGACTTCCAAGTACATAAACAAATACTAAAAAATTTAAGAATATATAATTAATTCAAAGCAATCCGCTTGAATTGAATGGTCACAGCTTCAACACCAAACTCCAAGAGAAGCTTACTATAGAAAAGCTCCTTTATGCTCTTTTGAGTATCAGAGAGGAGAAAAATTGTTGCCACTAGGGCTCCTTTCTCTACGTAACATGAAATCACAACGCACCAAGGTTTAAAAGCCAGAGTGTAAGGAATAAGCCTCAAGAAAAATCGATGCATAAACCTCAAATGAACAATTTCAAAAACTCATAAAATTAAAAATAATTTATAAAATGCCATAAACTATCAATAAATTAACTTAGTTCATCATCACAGACCATAAAATCTCATCAACAAAATAAAAAATAAGCAAATCTCAATCTTAAATTCCATAAACCAATCTTCCAGCACCAACAACCATTATTATAATCCCAAAATATAATAATATAAAAAACTTGTTAAAAAGACTACAAAATATTAGGAAAAAATGAAAACAAAATTTTTAAATAAAACTAAGAAAAATAAATAAATAATCATTTAAAAAGGTAAAGATCTATTTAAAAAGAACAAAAAAATGTACATTTAGTAAAAACCAAAAAATCATATTAAGAACATGAAAAAGTTAATAAGTAATATATTGAAAAACATTTTAAGAAATATTTAAATTTTAAAATATATATTTAAATGAGAACAAAAATAATTGAGGCACCTGCCTCAAATTCCTCAAGGCATGCCCTTCAATAAAAAAGGCATTAGCCTCACCCAAATCATTAAGGCATAATCCTCAAGGTAATTTTTGGGCACCTCATGGAGAGGCACTATTCAAGGTGTATGCCTCATACTCCTTTTTAATCAATGCAACGCACTCAATACTTCCTCTCAATTTCTTTTGGAAGCTTCTTTCATCAAAGCACGCTTTGATTCCAAAAGCAAATTCAATGAGAAAGAGGTAACAAATCAAAGTATCGAGATATCCATCAAGTGACCATTATCAAATTAGCATTAAGACCAATCTTCTTTCCTACATCAAGAACCTTGCATGAAGAACTAATGAGTAATTTGAAGTAAATTAAATAAACTTGAAAGCCTAGTCACCAACCACATAAACAAATGGCTCTTAGAGGATAATTGCACCAAAAATTAGAGGAATATTTTACCCTTTATCAATTATAAAAATCAAGAAAATTGAATACCATGATAGAGTTGTTAAATATCTACTTTTTATATATAAATAGTCATAGATGTAAAATTTCATTTAATTGATTTAAAATGTCCAAACATGTACTGATATGGTAGACTAAAGAGTTCAAAACTATGATTTATAAAAAATGACATTTAATGTTTATAAAATTCTTGAGATCAAATCTATTCAAATAGCCACAAATATAGGGAATGAATGTGATGGAATACACTAAGATAAGGAGAATAGCAGATTGTGCAAACATATACCATCAAGTTTCAAAGCCAAGCAATTGCCCATGAGATCTCCTTGGAAGAAGGGTCCATTTCCACAAAATTTGTAGCAATCTTAAATGACTCAGGAATGGACTATGGGTATCCTATGTTGGAAGCATCTCAGAAGCAAGCTCTAAATCCATAGCTATTGAGGTAAAGCATAGGCTAATTACAAAAAATAAAAACAAGAGCTTGCTCAACAAAATAATAAGCAAACAGAGGAGAAGAAAGAAAATGTGAGCCAAAGATCTTACTACACCTATAGAAAAATAAGGGCAATACAAACAAAGATTGGAGGAGGAAGATGCCAAATAAGAAGGTTATTAAATTGAAGAAGACAAACATGACAATTGCAAAGAACTTCTAACAATGATGGCCTATAATAAAAGCCAAGAAAGAGAAGAACATTTCAAGCCAAACATTCACGTAAAATGCAGCAGGATTAGTGATTATAAAATTAAGAAGTGGGAAGAACCTTAATTCTAGAGGAAAGATTTTAAAATTATGCTAGACATCACTCCTCACTCAAAGCCATATGCTTCAGGGTGGATTAGGAAAGACAACAACAATTTAGAGTTGTAAAACAATACCATAAATAAGCAATACTTATATAAGGTCGCATAAGATGTACTACCACTAATTGTATGTATTCTAATCTTAGGCAACACATATATCTAGGGTAGGATATTATATACTTTCAACTGGAATTAAAATAAATGATGTATTACCACTAAATGAATGTCATGTGAACTTAGGCCCACACACACACACACATAAACAAATCCTGCTTCTTAGGCTTAAGGTTTCATCTTTTCGGCTTAAGGTTTCATCTTTTCTTGAGGGAGATTGAATTTTAATTAATCATATTTGCCCTGATGATTGCATCGAGATTTGTTTAATTCTGGGTTCCTACTTCCTATAAGTTCAAGCCCCCATAATTAACTACCCCTCTTATCACATAGAAGAGAACTCTCGATTAAGGATGAATTAATTTCAAAAATGTAAGTATTTTAGTCTAGGCTATGGGGGATAGAGGTAGACCTGGTTAAGATCTCATGGTTCCGTCATCCCTTGGTGCTCGTTCGCATGGAGGATCAGGAGTAGAATGAAGGAGACTCTCAAAAAATTACCCAAAAGCATAAGTCTGAATGGCTAGAGAGCGTGCAGGGTCTTCGGTTTTGAGGAATCAAGAATGTGATGGAGTTACGAGCGACGTGGGGTTTTGGGTTGACGGTTTTGAGGAATCAAGTACAAAACCTTCAGCCAATGCAACAAAAGTTAATGTATATCACATCCCCACTGCAAAATTACTCAACATTCATCAACATATACCATTCAATTCTCAAATTGTAAGGTAAAATCATATTGATGGACAAGTAAGAGCATGAATGCATCTACATTCAACATTAAAGCGGCTATGCGTACTGCCAAATAATCAGATGGCAACTAAAGTTGAGTTCAACTATTTTATGCAGTACAATCAATGAAATTCCAGAAAAAGCAATATGCCCTAAAAATCACAATTTGCAGGTAAAAGCTTGCAACCATCCTACACTACAAATACTACACCTACAGGCTACTGGTATGGTTCTCACATCAGTCTAAACCACAAGAGAACCAACTTCTTCCCATCATTCAATCTCCAGGAAAACATCGCAGTAACCATAACACTCAAAATGGTTGGTCCTATATTCCTACTTTTCCAGTAGAGGCTAGCAAGCCATCACAGCTTCCCACTTTACAAAATGAACAGGTTCCATAATAAGCATTCCTTATTGAATGTAGTGCCTTCAACCAAGAAGATGCACACCATGAAACCATCACAAGCAAAACAGGCATGTATTCTCATGTCAGAGAGAGTGTTTTAACTAGAAGCAAAAGAAGGAATCTTAAAAAGAATGAGCTCATTAGATTTTCCAGAAACGAACAACGGTAAATAGATTGAGCAAAGCAAAAAGAAGAACTAGAAAGAGGCAAATAATGCAATTTTCCCCACCTTCTCGACCGCAATCTCTCCCTGCGCTTCGTTCTACCGACAACGCCAGCTCCGAGAACGGCTGCAGCTTGAATCATCGGTGGCATCTCAACTAGCAGTGCGTAAGCTCAGCAGAAACCCTAGCTTCGCTCGCTCCTCTTTCAACCTCTTGCTTCGCTTTCTCTCTCTATCCCTCTTTGTTTCTCGAGGATTGTCAGTGTTCCGCTATTGCTCGACTCGACTTCCTCCTGATTCAACTGACCCCCTATTACCCCCTTTTTCTTTTCTTTTTGGTTTTCTCTACGCTTTCCCTCGTCTTTTTTTCCATTATAAATTGACGAAAACAGGTGAGGTGCGAGGGCGCGAATCCCAAGCCGGCATTTTTTTTTTTTTGGGAACTTACCAAGCCGGCATTAACCATTTAAGGGGAACCGAAGAACTTTGGGATTTTTTCAAAGCAGCCCTTCCCTTTTCTATTTGTAATTTTAATTGTCTCTAGGTTGTCCAAAAATCCTTGCTTGAAATTCAAAAAAGAGCCGGTCAAGGGTTTGCTCTCTATGCTATCCTAGGGTTTGCTCTCCCACACCTCCTTGCCACCCTTTTCTTGGCCTGAGGAGGACTCCGATTAGGATGTCCACCTCAAGTTTTCCTCCCCTTTCTTCATTCACTAAACCCTCCTCTTCGCCTTTGGACTGGAAGCTCCTCCTGGCTACTCAAGGCCAAATCTCTAACAACTTCACCTCTTCGCTTTCTCATTTTTCTACTGAAAATGCCACGACCCATTTTACCTAAACTCAGTTCGAAGTTTCCTTAGTTGGTTACTCCATTGGTTGCAGACCCTATTATGAATCCCTCCTCTCCACCATCAAACGTATCTGGTCTCTTAAGGGCTCTCTATCTCTTTTAACTCTTTACAATGGATTCTTCCTCCTCAAGTTCTCTGTGATGGAGGACTATAAAATGATGTGGTCGGGACGGCCTTGGTTTTTCTTAAGCAACCCTTTCATCCTCCAAAAATGAACTACGGACTTTATTCTAATTCTTGAAGAATTCCCCAACATCCCGATCTAGATTAAGATTAAAAACCTTCCTCTTTCCTATTGGACGTCTGAAGGGATCTCCAAAATTGCAAGTTGTGTAGGAATTCCACTGGTAGTTGATGCTCTAACTACGGCAAAACAAGGCTCACATTTGCAAGAGTTTATGTTCAAGTGAATGCTTCCTCGCCTTTACACGATGAAGTTTATATCTCTGTTGATGGTAATATCTTTGTGCTTGTCGTTTGGTATGATTAGAGGCCCATACCTTGTACACATTGTGGATCCATCACCCATATGCCTACCACCTTCCCTAAGAATCCCACTCCACCTACTCATCAACCTACTCATCCTCACGGCAGAAGTGTCAATCACAAACCCTATTTTACACCTCCACCCCATCTTTATATCCGAAAACCCCCTCATCCCCCTGCCTCACAAACTAACCCCTTTCTCCATAACCAAGCCCCCCCCCCCCCCCCCCCCCCCCCCCCCCCCCCCCCC